ATTTAGCTTACCACATCATTCTAGTAATGTTGGGTGTGTAATCGACCCAAAATTTTTGTCCTCATTTGCCCCAATTTCTTGATCATCTTTTGGGTCAACTTCTTTGGATAAACCTTTAGATACACAAATCTTTTTTTCTTTCTGAGCAGTTTCTTGGTAAAATCTCATCATCATCTTTTTCTTCCCTGATTGGAATTTGGGCTCAATTTTAGATCCAGGACAAATTTCTTTGGTGATGATAGTTTTGTCTTGGTTTTAAATGCTCATTGCAGGTACGATTGGGGTAGTTTCACCAGATTCCTTAAATTTCCCCCTACCTCACTTGTTTTCAGAAAATCTGATATAGGTGTCTGAGGTGTCTTCTGGGTTACATCTACCCCATTTCTTTTTAAACCTATGGGCCAGTCTCAATACCTCACTTGTTTTCAGAAAATCTGATATAGGTGTCTGAGGTGTATTCTGGGTTACATCTGCCCCATTCTTTTTTAAACCTATGGGTCAGTCTCCGATTACTTCTCATTTTACTTCTTTATCATTTATAATCAGAGAGGTATTGAGATTTGAATGTTTTATCCTTGGCTTAAGTACTTCGTTTTCCTCATCCTCTGCGGCATGTACTTCACTTGTTTTGATACTACCAACTCTATTTTGGGGTTTGACTCCCAATTGTTTGACCAAAACAGACTGATCATTAACATCCACTTCTATGATTCCCTGAACCAAAAGGTCTTAAACCCGTCGTTTGAAGTTACCACAATTCTCGATGGAGTGCCCTCAGGATCCAGCATGATAATCACAAGAGAGTTTCTTATTATACCAACTCGGGTATGGAAGCAACAAAGGCTTAGTTCGACATGGAGCAATAATCTGAGCTTGGAGCAACTTGTAATATAACTTGCTGCATGAAACTGAAGGAAAACGGGGTAGATTCTCCCTTGACATCACTGTCTCTTTACAATTGTTTACTTTTCTTTCTTGAAAACCATGTGAATGATGACCAAAATGTTTGCTTTGAATGTTTGACTCTTGAACATCATGAGACAGACAGTAATTCAAAAATTTCTCTTTCTCGACCAGTTTTGAATTTTTGAGGAGCTTAGGTTTCCCATCTTCAAAACATAACAACCTTTCTGCGATGAGGTTTTGGACCTTTAAATTCATGACCCTACAATTCTCCGTAGAGTGGTTAAACTCTCCAGAATGATAATTGCATGAATTCTTGACACCCTGCCAATCTGGACGCAAATAAGTATTAGGCCTTGGAGAAATTGGTGTTATGAGGTCATTTTCAAAAAGAAATGGTAATAAATCTGAATATGAGATTGGAATTGGAATAAGAGGTATTATTTTCTTTTTGCTTTTCCTAGCTTTCTTCAATGGCCTTTTAACCTCTTCTATACTTCGCTTCAACTTGATCTTTGTCGCCTTTTCTGGGATCATACCCGAATTTTGGAGACTTATTGGATTTCCACATTTCTTTACAAGTTCTTGGTCATTTGTTTCCATTGCATTGGTTATACTACTAACATTTATAAACCCATTCAAATCTGTTACAACGGGATCCCATAAGGGTTTCTCTCCATGGATCACAATATTTACCATATCCATTAGTTTTGTCATTTGCTATTTTGAATTATCTTGGAATTTTTTTGCTTGATCCATTTGTTCATTTGAATCACCCTGCAACTTTTTTACTTGATCAATCATCTCTTGTTGAGTCTTGATAAGATGCTCTTGCAGTTTCTCGATTCTACCAATCCTTGATAAAATCTCATTCATGGCTATTATCCTTTTTTAGGAAGACCAAGTTAGCTCCAATTTGATTTCAAAATTCTGTCATGGAATTCTCCATGAATTATTCCCATATTTTAATGATTAAATGCATGTAAAATAGTTTGAAACAAAATACAAATGCATGATGTAAGATTGAAACTATAAATATAACTATGCAAATATGCAAATGTAAAAAATGAAAATGTAAATAGAAACGTAAAGATGCGAATGCAAATGCAAAGATGTGAATGTAAAATGAAAATGTAAAAAAATGCATAAATGAAAAAATAAGAATGTGAATTATGCAATGCAAATGCATGCATGCAAAAAGGTGTTGATACTGAACTGATTCCTTAGAACAACTTTTATACTAAAACGAAGTTTTAAACATATTATAGATACATCTGCATTATTTTCTACTTCATATAGGACTATTCATTCTATATTTCTAGCCTTCTATATGAACATCAATCATGAATCAACACCATGGTATGAAAAATGTAATGCATAATGAAAATGATAAAAACAAACAAAGGAAAATTAGGTAGAAATATCATAAAAATCCTAACCTCATGTAATCTAGTTCCATGCTTTATTTGGAGAAATAAATCTAACCGCATGATTTCTAGTTTGCATGCATTTATTAGGAAAATAAAGTAAATTAAGACTCAACATGCTTTTCCTTATGTGCTAACCTTACGAGATTCTCTTGGGTTAGGCTCTGACTAGATTTGAGTTCTAGGTTGAGTATATGCTGGGTTTGGATCTAAGGTAAAAGGGTCATCGAATTGTCATTTGTTGGTGCCCCCTTGGACTACCAAGCCCTCAATCCTGGTCCATCACAGACTTTCAAATTGAGTTCAACTCGAAGGAACACACTTCTTTATATCCATACGGAGGTGAAAACCACACGAGGAACATAAGGTGTGAGCTCAAGGAATGGTCCCCTATCCCATACGGAGGTGAAAACCACACGAGGGAGTAGTTTCTCATTCAAGCTAAATAGGATAATAGCGGGGTTTTAGCTCATATCATGATAATGCAATGCACAGTGTGTGATGAAAAGCATAAAGAAAAACAATGTATAACATAGAAATTTATTCTTTAAATCTAAAGACATATAATTAAACCTGAAAATATTAACAAACAAGTTAGTACAAATATTTAATTGTTAATAAATTAACAAAAAATGGTTATTAAAATAATCAAGAAAAAAATAAATTAAAGCAAATTTATAATTTTATTGGAAAGACAATTAATTAATAAACTGGTGGCTTGACTCTCTAAAAAAATAGGTCCCCAGCAGAGTCGCCAAGCTGTCGAGACGGTATTTCGCCTGGGGAAAACAAGTGTCGTTGCTTTCTAAATCTTGTCTCGAAAAAGTGAGTGTTTTTCTTCTTGTATAAGATAAAACACAATTTGTAGAGTCGCCAACAATCATTTTATTAAGGTGTGATTGGTCACAAAAAATGTTATGTTATTTTAAAAAAAATTATAAAAATAATATTAAAATAACACAAAGGGTCTGCTTACCAGAAAATGAGTTCGGGAGTCGGTTATGTGTGGGGAAGGATTAACACCCCCACAACGCCCAAAATTGGTACCTTGTTTATTAATTAATGTCTTTGCAATAAATTAACAAATTTGTATTTAATTTCAATTTATGATCCCATAAAAATATTAAAGATATTATTTTATACCAACAAATTATTTAAAATAAATTCCTAATAAGTTAAGAAAATATTTTATAATTTATTGTATAAAATAAAATAACCCAAACACACATAATAAATTTAATGATTAAAAATAATGAAATTTTAGGTTACTAGTAATAAATACTTAATATGCAAAGTACTATAATAGTAAATAATTCTAAAAATAATATTTAAAATTATTATTTTAAAACTAAAGGATTAAAATTGTAAAATATCAAAATTAAAAATCTTAATTCTAAATATCATGAAATCTAGGTATTATTAGTGTAAATAATCCTAAAATATTATTTAAAATTAAAATATTAAACCTCAATGATTAAATTGTAAAAATATATAAATTAATTGTCTTAATTTAAAATATTATAAAATATAATTACTAATAGTGTAATTTAACCCTAAATGAATATTCATGATTAAAATATAAATAATTAAAAAATCAGAGACTAAATATGTTATTTACCCTAAATATATGTAAATATACGATTAATGATTAAAATAAAATAAAATCTAAAAACCAAATTATAGTGCACAAAAATCAATTCCAGTGACTAAATTGTAATGTATACAAAGTACAGGGACCACAGACATGATTTGCGCATTTAAGAAATTACGCAGAAGTCCCTCCCCAAAATGACGTAATTTTGAAAAGGATATAAATAGGTCTTAAATCTTCATTTTCTCTTATTTCTTCATTTTTGCTTCTCTCTAAAGAGAGAGAAGCTCTCCCTTCTCTCTAAACTCTCTCACCGAAAGGAGAGCCGGTCACCGACCGACCACCTTCCGACCACCGCCAAACACTATTTCGATCACTATTCCGGTCGCCAGTCACTATTCACGATGGCCGTAAAAAATAAAAATACCTCAAAACGTAGATCGACTTTCCCTCGACTCGAATCTAAGCTTCTTTTTCGCTAAAAGCTAGTCAATCAGACTAGATCTGAGATTTTACCTTTGGTAAAATCACTTTTCCGATGATGTTTGAGCTTCAACGGTGGTAAGATCTCCTCCTTTCTTTTGCTTCCTCTATTCGTTTCTCTCAGTCGTCCGTTGCTTCTCTTCGCGTTCTTGTTGTTATTTTTTTTAGGTTTTCAAGACTTTTTATAGGCCTCGGAAAGCTTCAAACAACCATTCATTTTGGTGAGTCACCAGATCTACAATGGTAACTCACCATATGGAGTGAGGTGTGCGGTTCTCCTTGCTTCTTCTGGAGTCTTCTACTGAGGCGGCGGCATGACAGTGTTGGAGTGGAACACTTGGACGATTGGAGGAAAAGTGTGGGAAACCCTTGCTACTAGGTTCTGAATCGGGTCAAATGGGTTCCGGTTTGTAAATATCTATTGTAATAAAATTTATTATTTATTAATAATAATAATAATAATATAAAAAAGACGGGAAGAAAATGACTGTCGACACCAAGCATCCCCATTGGGTGCCCTAATAATCTTGTAAGGTACCATCTTCATTTCTTTCTGTGTCTGAGCATCGTCAAAACGTCTCCCAATCAGACGTTTAGTTCCAAAAAAATGTGTTTGTTGGATTAGTCACGGCCTGACGTTTGGCTGGGGTTCCAACAACTAACTCCCCCAGCTGGTTGAAGGCAACCACTGATGGTGTGGTTCGAGCACCTTCAGCATTCTGCAAAATTAAGAAAAAGAACCCAAAAATTCGCAAAAATTCGAGTAGAACTTGGTCCCAAACAATAAATTTTAATAGATACTTAAAAAAGATTAATAATATTAACAGGGATAATAATCTACCTTTCCATCCATCACTGATACACATGAATTGGTAGTACCCAAGTCAATACCAATTACATCATTACCAACAGGTCTTGAACTGTGTTGCAGCAGGAACAGCAATATATTAGCAAACAATAAGCCATTGAGATAGACGATATTTCAATTTCAAGAAACAATAGAATACCTGAAGGGCCTTGCCAAGGATGCCCATCTCACCAGTGGAGAGCAAGCAAATGATGTCTTAGCATTTCCAGTCAACTTTTACAATAGTAAAACGAAAAAGCTAATAAGCCACACAATAAAATCCCATCATAAATAACACTGACAACAATATTTCACATTCCTTCACTAAAGTTAAGCTCGGAAAATCTCATAACTACGAAAAAAACTCTACTCCATATCTAAATCATTTCAACGGCCCTTCAAAAAGCAATGGTGAGTAATCCATGTTGAGACTTAAGCCCAACATAAGATAAATTTTTTTTTTAACATCCATCTGATCAATTGACAACAAGTCTAATACCCAAAAAGAAGGAAATAAAAGCAATGGGAAAACCGTCCATTGATGGTGCTGCAACATAAAATCTGTGAAGACATTAAACAAACATAATAAGGGACAAGAGCTCTACAATTTACCCATTAACAGAGTCATAGAATCAGATATCACCAGAGGAAAAGGAAAAGAAAGAAACATACCAATCAAGAGGCATCGATTATTTACATAAAAAAGTAGACATATAAATGAAATGGGAAAACGTACGGATTTGCAAGCGGAGAGAGAAGCATGGTGAAGCTCACGGCGCTGTAAAGCACGGCGTTGAACTGAAGCAGCCATGAGAGGACCAAAATGCTTTAAGAAAACCTTTTTAAAAACCAGAGGGGTTTAAGAGACTGTGTTAGGGTTTTATGAAATCTGATTGGTGGCTTTATTTAAGGAATGAATTTTTTGTGAACAGATGACCGTTTTAACCTTGATTCATTTTGAGATTCTGTTGTTGATTGTTTTTTTGGAGGGTAAAACAGGAAAACGATGGAGATATGTCAACCGTCAAAAGCTCGAGTTGGCTTTGGTGGCATCTTGGGCAGCAAATCACGAAGAAAAATGAGTGTCAAGTTTTATGGCTATGATTTTATTTATTTTGCCCCTTTAACTGGCTATAAATGAGACATATATGTTATTCGAGTTTGATTTAATAAAATTTTGATTAAGATTTGATTCAAATGAAATCAATTTAAACTTGAATTAAGTTCCCAAAGGTATTTTTATATCTAGTGTATGATTCGAATTTGATTTTCCGTATTAAACCTCAGTGACCAAAAATGCCTTATAATATACGATTTTAACCAACTTTTTTTGAATTTGCCAAAATGACCAACTAAATCGCAATGCGATCGATAATTCGCAACGCGATCTCCGGTATCGCAAATCAGTTTCCAGATTCGCAACGCGATTCTGACTATCGCATTGTGATTTTCCAAATTCGCGTTGCGATTTTCCGACTATCGCAACGCGATTCTGACTATCGCAACGCGATTCTGACTATCGCAACGAGATTCTGACTATTGCAACGAGATTCTGACTGTCGCAACGCGATGCTGACTGTCGCAACGCGATGCTGACTGTCGCAACGCGATTTTCAAAGTGCCATTATTATCGCAACGTGTATTTTTTTTCAAATTCCAAACACGAATATTAATATATCGGAACACTGAACCGTCCACAGTATATCCCGTAATCGCAACTCATAACCTAAAACCCTAAATCACAACTTAGTCCCATCTCCATCTCTCACTCTCTAAGGCGACATCCGTCCCCATCTCTGATGAAACCAGTCCCCATCTCCGGCGAAATCCGTCTATCTCCATCTCTCAGAGCCACCCTCACAATCATTCACGGTCAGAAATGGAAAATCAACCAAATCAACCACCGATGGTTAGTTTTTTTAATTATTTTTAATTTGAAATTTTTGCATTATTATTAGGTTTTTCATATTGAAATTGATGATAAGTTTGCTGGTAATTTTAATAATAGATTAACCATTTCATTTAGATTGCTTATTAAATTCATTCGATTGCTGCCAATACTGCTAAACTGTTTAGTCTTTAAACCCTGTGAATTTAGTATTTGTCTTTGTTTTGTCTTTTGGTTGAAGTAATGCAATCCATTCAAGTTTCAATTTTAGTATTTGAAACAGAGAATCGAAACGCGAAATGAAAATCGCAATGCGATTTTAGTTTCGCGTTGCGATAGTCATTTTCATGTTACGATTTTCATTTTCGTGTTGTGATTTTAAGTTTCAGAAACTATTATTCTTCTGCAAATTGAAACTTGAATGAATTGCATTACTTCAACAAAAAAAAAACAAAGACAAATACTAAATTCACAGTGTTGCAAATTTAAGTTTGAAGAATAAACCACTACTCTTTATGTTTATTGTTCTTGGTATATCTTCACAGTGTAGTTTTTGGTATATCTAACTTGGTATGTTTATTGTTTTTGTAGAACTTTTATTCGGCTCAATTGACATTAAGAAATAAATTAAGCCTGGCCAAAACAATTGCGTCGAAGCTTTCACCTGCACAAAGAAAAATATTTGAGGATACTTGCTTCGGGCCATGGCTGAAAGTACAACATCCGGGTGGAGATGCTATGTTGACCCATCTGTTTCTTCAAACAATGACTAGCGATCTACTAGAGATTATACAACGTCGTGATGAAGAGACATGGTTTGATTTTTCACCGGCGTATACGTGTTTTGGGCGGGAGGAGTTTTGCTTAATCACCGGTCTACGCTTCGGACACGATGATATAGGTCAGTACACTAGACATATTACCCGCCTATCATGGTTATCCCGGGTTTTTCCTGAACTGTCAATGGAGAAGCCGAATTTACACGTGGAAGACTTGACGAGATTATTGAATAAGAAAGATGGTTTTACTAGGATGGATGACGTCGATGTTGTCCAAGTATGCCTTCTAATACTTTTGCATGCCGGCTTTTTAGGCAGAGAGGCCAGACAACTTATTCCTAATGATCTAATTAAATTGGTAGAGGACCTAAATGCATAGAACATGTTTCCGTGGGGTTCGTATCTATGGAAAGCTACATGAAATAAGTTATCATCTTCCTTTGATGATCGAAAAAGTTTGCGTGGCGATGGTTCCAAATACACTTTTTCAGGCTTTATTTGGGCCTTTAAGGTAAGAATTTTTATATAATGTTTCCAAAATTATAATTAATTATTTAACAATTACTAATGTTTGTTATTATATTGTTTGTAGATTTGGATATTTGAGGCCTTTCCCGCCATGCAGACATATGCATTAAAAACTTCTAATGATATTCCTAGGGCTATTTCCTGGAAGAGGAAACGGACCTTGCAGCAATGGGAAGATTTACTACCGTATACGACAATAAATAATGTAAGTTAACACAAATACTACCATATGTTTATAAACAAGTTATTACTAATACACGTTTAACTTTGTTTGAGCTTTTATATTGTAAGGAGGCCAACACTCTATTACAGAGGCTGACACCCACGGAAGCTGAGCTTACCACTGATTGGTGGCAAGCTAGTAAGCGTTTTTTTGATGGCACGGATGATGAGCAGCCTCCACTTCGAGAGCCATCACCTCACCCAGAGCCATCACCTGATCGACCCGACTATATACCTCCACAACGAGAGCCATCACCTATTTTGTCACATCATCGAGCCTCTTCTCCAACATCACCTCATGATAGGCGACCGGAAAAGATGCCACGACGTTTATCTCCCTGTTCTCCACCTCCACATCCACGGGATGAGTTAGGGGAGTTATGTGATGAGGTCAATGCCTTGCGTGAGGAGGTCGGTACTTTACGCGATGACAATGGTGCATGGCGTGTTGAGGTGTCTACTTTACGTGGTGAGGTAGCCGCTCTACGTGAGATGGTAGCATCGTTGCAGAATGAGGTTCATACTATACGCAACGAGGTAAGTTTAATATTTTTCATATTTAACTTGATTATAAATTTACTCGTAATTTCACTTAGATTAATCATTTCACTTAGATTGCTTAGTAAATTCATTTGGTTACTACCAATACTGCTAAACTGTTTATTCTTTAACCCTGTGAAGTTAGTATTTGTTTTTTGTTGTCTTTTGGTTGAAGTAATGCAATCCATTCAAGTTTCAATTTGCAGAAGAATAATAGTTTACTTTCGCAACGCGAATTTGACTATCGCAACGAGAGAATCGCAATGCGAAATGAAAATCGCATTACGATTCTCTCGTTGCGATAGTCATTTTCGCGTTGCGATAGTCATTTTCGCGTTGCGATTTTAAGTTTCAGATTCTATTCTTCTTCTGCAAATTGAAACTTGAATGAATTGCATTATTTCAACCAAAAGACAAAGACAAATACTAACTTCACAATGTTGAAAATTTAAGTTTTAAGAATAAACTACTACTCTTTATGTTGTCATTGAACCTGCACTAAACCTATATGTTGTCCTTTTAAATGTTTATATAAGTGATTAGTTCTGGAATGTTATCTGATGCATTTTGTGAACAATGATAGAATAACGACTTGGGTGAATACCATGCAAGTTTGAAATATATTTGTCTTTGTTTTCACTGTTTAATATCATGTCTGTTTATTTACTGATTTATGTATTAATTTATTTTTAGCGGCTCGCTAAGGTGGATGCTCTACGTCGGTTTTTTTCTTGCAAGACGGAGTTCACGCATCAGGCGACGTGCACGTGCCATTACGTCTCCGTTCACCCCAATAGTGCGAAGAATCCGTAAGAAAAAGCCCGACTCACCTGTCATCGATCAAGAGGCCTCCCCTATCGTTCAAGAGGCCCCTATCATCCCTCAAGAGTCCCCTCCCACCGTTCAAGAGGCCACTGTCATCGTTGAAGAGGTCCCTCCCAACATTCTAGAGCCCGATTCACACGGCGTAATATATCGAATTATTGAGAAACCCCCTCACGTGCCGGACATGATGGATGACTGTTGGTTTTCGTATAAGTTATCGGCCAGTACCATTCCGGCAGATGAAGTGGAGAGGAAACAACTACCGAAAACAATTATGGATAATACCCTTTGGGCTAAGACCGCAGTTGATTTTTATCTACATGAGCGGAGCCAAGGGTGTTACGCTGACATATACAAACTCAACGATGATATGCATTTGTTGATTGAACGATCTTGGTGGGGTGTGTTATTAGGGGTTGAAGACAATGGCTATTTCGATGAGGGGGTAAGTCTTATATTTCATTTTGATTATTTTTTTTTAAAATTTATGTAATTCACTAATATATGTCTTTTTTTGTAAAACAGCATATTGATGCATGGGTGTCACGTCTTCTAATAGTAAGGAAATTGAAGAAAAATAAAAATAAAAAAAATACGCGATATACAAGTATGCCGACGTCTTTTACGTAGTTCACTTGAAGAATCAACGACAGGAATCATATGTGTTGGCTAATGGACAAGCTAAACTTTATCCTGCATGGTGGGAGGTCGATAAGGTTAGTATTTATTTTTTTTAAATATTTTAAAGGTATTCATAAATAAGTGCGCAATTTGAATTATTACTTATGATTGCAGGTGTTTATCCCTATTTTGGAACGTACTCATTGGCTTCTCGTCGAGCTTCAGCTCCCATCCCTGAAGATAATAGTATATGACAGCATGATAAATTACATATCATTGTCTGATTTGAGAGATATTATTAAGGGATGGAGCTCTCATTTGGCTAAATTCTTGGATGCGATTAATTATTGAACTTATTCTAGAAACAAGAAGCCAAAGAAGTTCAATGTTACAGTTATCAGAGACGAGACTTGCGCCACAACAAACGCCGGAAGCCAGAGGGGATTGTGGTCCTCTCGTATGCATGTGCTTGGAGCGTTTGACGACAAGAAGTACACAG